CCCGCCCCCCGCCCTCCCCTTCCAGCCCCGCTTCCTGTGCTGCTCGGCCTGGCTGGCGCGGGCTTGGCCGGCGCCGTCCTCGCCGCGCCTTTTGCCCCACCAGCCTCCGCCCCCAAGAAACCCTGCCTTTCCCCATGAGCGACTCGGCCAGCTGGGCAGCTGCAGTGACACCGGCCTGTTTTTCCGCCCTCGATGCAACCCTAGCTTCCTCGCAGTCACTTCCTTAGCTCCTTCATTTAGAAATAAAAGTGTACACTTTTATTTATGTGTGTGTATAAATACAAATAAAGAGCCAAGTTTTTCACATCCCCCAAGCATAGACCTTCAGAGCAATACCGCAAATCGTGAGAGTTGGCAAGGAGCGCGAGGATCTCCCTCTTGGGAGCAAGCCACCAAGGCTGGCGGCCGATTTCCACACAACTCTCTTCTGGTGCAGTGACTGTCATTGGTCCTGCACGCATGTACAGTTGTTTCAAAGAAAATGCGGGGTAGGCGGTGCTCTGGGGAGCAGCCGGCCTTTTCTCACATACTTCAATTCATGGTTGGAGTTTACCGTCCTCACGGATTTGAAGGCATTTGGATGGTGAAAACTGGCCCTTGTGTCTGCCTCAAAGGTAGCGAGAGGTTAGCTGTGTCAGTGTGAAGGCAGGCAGGAGGCAGGGTAGAAATGCACTTCATAGGCCAGTGGTCATCAACCATTTTAGACCCAAGGCAGCCCTCGGAAATGCCAGCTCTTAGTACTCTTTTTTTCCGACTACAGAAAAATAATCAAGAAAACTTTAGGAGGTAATTTAAAAAAAATAAATCTTCCAGTAGGTTTTGAAATTGAGGGTGTATTAAATGAAACTGGACGTGCCAAACATTGCAGCCCAGTGTCCCTGCAATGCGTGAATTTGGAAAGGTGAAATTAAGCGTTGTTAATTTGGGTTTGACTTGCTGCTGATCTAAGATGAAACGGTAAGCGGTTTTGCTTACGTGGTTTTTGAAAATTGAGCGCCCCTGTATACTGTGCCTTGATGCCTAGTGTATTCAATGTAGCCTGAAATGCTACAGGGTAAATAGAACGATTGAGTGATTTGTCTTATTTGTGGTACATGAACATGTACATCTCCCACTTTGTGATGCATTCCAATAACGCACCATCATTCTCCTAATGCTAAATATTTCTTAAATGGTTTATATTAAAGCAGTATAAAAATCCATGTGTAATAGTAGATATTTTATTAATACTCTTCATTTTTTCCCTCCCCGTCCAGGTACAAAGGTCCTCTACTAGAGGAGGAAGCACTGAACAAAGCAGTAGAAAATGGATTGTCTTCACCAGAATTTTTTGAACTGTGCATTTGGTTAAGCTCCCAGATAAAACCTCTCTGTGACCTGGAAGAAAGTATCACATCAGCAGGTGGTATTTGCACAGACTTTGGACTGCATATTATTTTAATTAGTTGGTATTTGCCTAAGTGTCGTGTTTTTTTTTGTTTTTTTTTTCCCCAGTCATTTACTCTTAAAGTATAAATTATGATCTTGTTTCAAGAAACAATTTTGAAACTTAGCAGTAAAATAGCTATAGTCTAGATAAGCAAGAGGTTGAAACTCATTTGTGCATGCGTGGAAGTGTTCTATTTCAACTTAACTGAATTTTTTTTTTTAAATTGACAATATAATTATTTAAAAGTAATCTTAATGTAAAAAGGACATTAGCATACTACCTACAAATATTTGTAAACTTTCTGTTTCCTCAGTGAGATATTTTAAATAAATACACAGCATTTAGTTATTTTTTCTTACATAATTTAAATACTCTACAGTGATTCATTTTTAGTGATATAAAATATTCACATGGCAGTGATATTTTTATTTGAAAGTGGAAAATGGACTATCTGTTTTCATGTTACATGCTAGCTCCTAGTTCATTTCAACGAGGTGCACTCCTTCCTTAATAGATCAGTGTAACATTTTTCTTGGGAATAAAAAAAAGTGTTTTGCAAGATTCATTTTTGAAAAAAAATGTTTGTGCAAGATTTTCTTCAAGATCATGGAAAGTGATGTTGATTAATAGGTCATAAATATCTTTTGCCATCAATCAATATCTCACATATAAACTTTTGTATTAAGGGCAATAGGTTGTAATTTGTGTTTGAGAAGCCCACTAACTTTCCAATTACTTTGTTTTCTATTTTCTTAAGGTGAGAAAGATGTGGAAAGCTTCCAGCTTGAGATTAGCGGTTTTTTAAAAGAAATGGCTTGCCCATATTCAGTACTTGTTTCTGGAGATGTTAAAGACAGATTACAAAAGAAAGAAGATTGTCTTAAACTCCTATGTAAGTTCTGATAATTCCCATTAAGAATTGGTATCTTTTATATACTGTATATGTCTTAATTTTTAAAAAAACATGCTCTGGCCCCTCATAGTTATTAGGGCTGATCAGAGTGCATAAACTAGTCCCACAGTTTGAGTATTATAGGAACGAAACCTGAAATTTCTTTCAAATGAGTGGTCCTGCATCAGTTTGGGTAGGGTATTAAAACTGCAAGCAAGGGCCTGCCTCTCTAGTGAATTTAATGACTTCTCTACTGGTTCCCAGACAGCATGAGGTAAGAAGTCAACTGATTTGAGGGCAAGGACCAGGGCTATCCCTAAGGGGGTGTGAATTGGGGCAACCACCCTTGGCCCTGTGCTTTGGGGGCCCCCGCGGAGCAGGGCAGAGCAGCAGCAGCGTATAGCTGGGCAGAGCCACTTACTACCCCCCTTGCCACTGATGGCGGTGGCAGCTTCTTCGGGTCCAGGGCCATGGGATCAGGATGGCGGTGGCAGCTTTTTCGGGTCCGGGGCCATGGGATCGGAGTGAGGGTGGGGCCCTGCATGGGCTGATTTGCCCCAGGCCCCGCACCCTGCTCAGCTCAGCTCTATCAGAGACGACAATAGTTGGATTGAGGGGGTGGAAATAGTGTCTTGGACATGAGGTTAGTGAGACGGGCTGAAGCTGGGTTACCAAGCCTGGGACTTTGGGAATGGAAGCACTGAGGGAAATCTTGATGGGACAGAAGGATTAGAAGTAACAAAGACTGAGATTAGGTGAGAAGCTGATAGGACTAGGAATGTGCAGAAAGGCATAGATAGTAGTGTGAAGAGAGCCAAATATGGCAAGGAACCAGGGGATGGGGAAACAACTGGAACTGAGTAGAAAGAATAGACAAGAAGTCAAAGAAAGAGACTTAAAGAGTGTAATGGATATAATAATTGTACTGCTATTGAAGAATATAGCTGTTATGTTTGCATGATTGTTGTGTAGAGTGTGTAGTACAGTCAGCTTTTTTTTTTTTTTTTTTACAAGTGGGCCAGATCGTAAAATCAGAAATGTGCTGAGTGCTCATAAAATAGCATAGTTGGAAGTCTGCATGTATAGTGAGCCTCCCTGAGCTCACCAGTTGGAGCTGTGGAGTGGAGGGGGTGAATGTCCCTGCCACTGAGGTAGCAGGGGAAAAGAGACAAATGGTGGCAGTATTCAGTCCCTGGGCTCTGGAGTGAAAGCAGTGGCTCTGAGCAGAACCCACGCTGACATGCTACTGAGCTCAGAGAACTCAATATGCATGCAGCTAGATGACAGGTTGTTCTTACTGGTTTTGTGGACCACAGCCTGAGCACCATTGGTGTAAAAGAACTTTAGCTTTAACTCTTCTTCTTCCAGGGTCAGAGTTGGGTGATATAGCTAGCTTGTATTGCTACTGGCTTTTACGCACATAATAGGTACATCACAGCTGCTATGTGCTTCCAAGCAACAACAGCTCCTCCTCTTCTTTTGAAGCATCTACAAATGTATATCTGTTCGTATACCAGGCTGAAGGAGTTGAGATTGAGGGCAGAGACTGTTTTAGATAAGGAGCAATATTAGTCACACAAAAGAGAATTTTGCAGGAGAAAACAAGTAGGCACCAGAAATGAGTAACATCCAGTTGTATGCTTCTATAACTTTTTTTTTTAATAAGTTTGAAATTTGTCCTTAAGTTGACAGAATTCTGTCTAATCCCTTTCTATTTTCTTATGGTTTTATTTATTTTGTATTTTATTAATTTGTGTTTTATTTTCTGTGAGAATGCAGGCACAAAGTTATTCAAGCTTTCTTAAAGATCCTATTATGGCACTTTTTTCTCTAGTATTTCTAAGTACGGAGCTTCAAGCTTTAAGGATACTGCACAACAAACAACTTAAAGGTTCTCACTTGGAAAAGCATAATGAAATCTATCACGAAGTGGAAACTATCTCTGATTCACTGGGCCTATCAAAGTCATCATCTTCTGACATGCCTCTTTTATTG